AAGGTCGGAGACGCCGAGCTGTGGTGACAAGTGCTAGTGCCAGCTTCTCGATCATCTGGTATCGCTTCTCTGCATCTTGGAGGACTCGGCTGATGAAGTAGATTGGTGTCTGCACTTTCTGGTGCTCTTGTACTATTACCGCGCTAATAGGGCTTTCTGCTACGGCCAGGTAGAGGAGGAGGTCAGTTTTGTGGTCCGGCCTCTGTAGGATCGGTGGGGTTGTGAGGAAGTTTTTGAAGCTTCGGAAAGCTTCTTCGCACTGATCCGTCCACTGGAAGTCTTTGGGCTTTCGCAGTAGGGTGAAAATGGGTCCTGCCTTCTCCACGAGTCTGGGGATGAAGCGGGATAATGAGTCCAATTGTCCAGCTAGGCGTTGGACCTCTTTCACTATTTGTGGGCTCTACATCTGGATGATCGCTTTACACTTCTCGAGATTGGCCTCGATCCCTCTGCTGGTGATCATGAAACCGAGGAACTTGCCTCCTTGGACGCCGAAGACAAATTTCTCCGGGTTGAGGCGCATGTTGTGCTTCCTGACCTAGGAGAATACTTCGGCGAGGTCGGCAGCATGGTCTGTCGCCGAGGTGGTCTTGACTACCATGTCGTCGACGTAGACTTCCATGTTTTTCCCGATCTGTTGGTGGAAGACCTTATCCATCAACCGCTGGTAGGTTGCGCCCTCATTTTTTAGGCTGAAGGGCATCACCCGGTAGCAATAGTTGGCGTGGTCGGTAATAAAGGATGTATGGACCTCGTCGGGCGGGTACATCATTATCTGGTTGTACCCGGAGTAGGCGTCAAGGAAACTGAGGAAGGCGTGCCCTGACGCTCCGTCAACCATCTTGTCAATGCTCGGCAAAGGGGATTATGATTAACATATGTAATCTGGAAAGGGGGTTACAATTCACATATGACTAATGTTAAAAGAATTTTAAAACATCTAAGAGGAACTATTGATGTTGGATTATGGTTTCCTAAGGGTGTATCTCTAAGTCTAGTAGGATATTTTAATTCAGATTATGCAGGATGTAAATTAGATAGAAAGAGTACTAGTGTTACTTGTCATCTTTTAAGAAGTGCATTAGTTTCATGGCATAGTAAAAAGAAAGCTTATGTTACTTTAAGTACAGATGAAACTGAGTACATAGCATCTGGAAGTTATTGTGCTCAACTCCTATGGACGAACCAACAATTAATGGATTATGGTGTAAGACTAGATAACATTCCTCTAAGGTGTGATAATACTAGTGCTATAAATCTAACCAAGAATCCTTTCTAGCATTCAAGGACTAAACACATAGAGATAAGACATCACTTTCTTAGAGATCATGTTCATAAAGAAGATTACATAGTGGAGTTTATAGAGACAACTAAACAATTACCTAATATATTCACTAAGCCTCTACCAAGAGATAGATTTAATCTTCTTAGAAATGAACTTGGAATATTGAGTGAAACATGTTTATGATGATTGAAGTATGCTTAAAGTGTTTGTATGTTGATATTTTGATTTAAATGTTTGAGTACGCATGAATATGTTTAAATGTATGATATGATTGAGTTAAAGGATTGATGAATATATAAGAGTGTTAGATTATATTTTGAGGTGCTAAGAATTTCAAAATTGACTATTTCGTATTGGAATAATCGATTAAAGTAAGTTTTAATCGATTATTTCATGTATATGAATACATGAGAGTCTCGAATAATTGATTATTTTGTTAATAATCAATTATCTAGGTTTGTTAATAATTGATTGTTTCAAGTAACAATTGATTATTTTAAGTGACAAGAGTTGGATGTTTACTGAATTAATCGATTATTTCAATAAATAATCAATCATTTTGGTTAAGCTGAAATCCTACTTTCTAAAATAATTGATTATTTCAGGAAATAATTGATTATGAAATAATTGATTATTTCATGGAAATTTGGTTTTTAGGCTTTTTTGCTAACAAAAATAATTGATTATTTATGCAAATAATCAATTATTTCCAGTCTGTTCACATTCCGCAAAGTTTGAATGACAATTACTCGTGCCAAAGCCAATAGGTACGAACTCTTCATGTACAACCTTGACTCTTCACTTTTGAAATGCATTCTAACACCCAAAACCCTTAAACCTCACACCTCTCATTATAATTCCACCATTCTTCAAGGATCCTTCTTACATTCTCAAACCCTAACATTTTTCCAATCTTCAAACCTTCAAACCCTTCATTTCTTACCTTCTAGATATTCTCATGGCTTCATCTTCTTCTAATAGACCAAAAAATCTTGAATTAAGGGGGGGAAGAATATTTTGAATGGTATGTTGGGATAAGAATAATCCCACCAAAGACCATGAATCTAGAGTGGTTCATTAATGAAGGATTCACATTTCCATCTCTGTTGGAGTTTCAAGGGTTGAAACGATTTTTGAAACTTTAAGGTCCATACTACCTGGACTTGGTGAGGGTGTTTTTTTTTGTTTGGCATCAAGTTCAAGGGGAGTAATAAGCATTATGATGAAATGAGTGCACGTAAGGCTAGACGGACCTACCCTTATGGCGGTTGTTGGTCTAAGGGGTACAAGCCAAGAGAGACCACAAAGTGCAAGCTTTGGTGACTTCAGTCACATGACCACTTTCAAGGATTCTCAAAGAAATACTAAGACTACAAATTACAGTATGTTTCTAGCTAGTGGCATGAAAAAGAATGATAGGTTGATTTCTTTTATTATTACTTAGATGATTAAGCTTAGGTTGTGATTAAGCTTAGGTTGCATAACCATGCTTAGATGTTTAGGGATGAATTAATGTTAATGTATGATATTAAGAATAAAGTGCAATTGGATTGGGTTTCTGTTGTGAATAATTACTTTCTAAAAGCAAGGAGAAAGGAAGATGGTCCTTATCCTTATGCTCTTCTACTTTAAAGAGTATTTGAGTATCGTAGAGTGGATCTCATAGGAGAAAAAAAGAATGTTCTCGAAGAATCAAGAGGATAGATGGATTTTCGAAGGGGATGTGCCTTTAACTCCAGATCCTATGGCTGATAAGGATGGAGTTATAGGCGATGATGAGGCTATAGAAGAACAAGAAGTGGAGCATGTTGGAGAAGTATAACTGAAACTTAAATCGCTCTCTCCATTTGAGCAAGTTTTAATTAATAAGATCACTACTACAAAAATACTATTCAACATCGCCATATCTACATCGGTTTAAGTAAAACCGATGTAAAAGAAGAACGCGGTGGCATTTTTGTAATTAAATAGACAATGTAAGCATTTTTACATCGGTTCTATAACGAAACGATGTAAATATGAAGTATTTTACATCGGTTTTGGTAGTGACCGATGTAGAATTCAAATTCGAAAAGTATACTACATCGTTTGTGTTGGTGACCGATGTAGAAACGATTTCCCCCATGCTTAGGGTTTACCACGCTTACACGCAAGAAGCAAGCTCTCAACAGATTGCACGTTCTCTCTCAACTCTTTCGCATACACGTTCTCTCTCAACCCTCTCGCAGGCTCTTCTCTTCACGACAACCCACTTTGACGAACGTTGCTCTTGCGCGAGTTTCAAATTCACAGACGCTCCTAAAGGAGCTCTCCCAAAACGTGTTGGCATTCTTGCGCGAGTTCGTCATCGAAGGCAACATTTGCAACGTCTACTTGTTTAGCGTTGTTCACCTGTACAAGGTATTTTTTTGGTTCATGATGCATTACAATTTGTTCAACCCAAATGAAAAATTAGGGTTTCTTTTTCTATTGATCTATTGCTTATTGATTGATGGTGAATGGTGATTGTGGGTTTTGGGCGACGCTTGATAGGAACGGGGCCAAATATTGTGCATTTGCTTTGAAGAAATTGAAACAGAGGTAATAGTTTGATAACTCGTCAGTGCTAATAAAATTTGTAGAATTGTAGTGAATTTCATATTCATCTAGTGGGACGCGGCTATTGTTGTAGTGATTTTTATATTGATATTGAACGGTTCTTTTGAAAGTCCTGTTATGTTGTTGCATGGCATTGGAGATAGTTTGTACTCCAGTGTGCATCTTTCTTTTTTGCCTTTAAACAACCATTATGAGGTTTTCTTGTTCTCTGTTTTATCCTCTAATTACTGACCTGTGAGTTGTTACTGGTTTGGTGCATTTTCTTTCACTTGCATTTTCTTGTACTGTTTTATGGCTCAAGTAAGTTTCCCTTGATGGTTATTCTATTCATGATTGTCACAAAGTGTGACCTAGCGCATGAAGCTCCTTCCTAGTGCGATTTGGAGGATGGTAGATGTATGTAACCTTATCCTGTGGAGAGGTTGTTTCTAGAATTTGTAACCTCCTAGTCACAAGGTTGCCCAACAACCTTATTGTGGGGGCAAGGCATGCCCTCTCTATTCATGTTATGCATGAGCTAATTAATAACTATGAAGGAGATTTTTTATTTATTTAATTATTTTATCTCACATGTGTGTACTGTCAAAATGGTCGGTTAGCCAGTTGCACACTTGAACTAGTAAATTCTTTTTGTGAAGTTTTGTAGAAGTGAGGTGAGGGTATTGATAGAATGTTTTAAAGTTTGCCATTGCTTTTTTCCTTATTTCTGGAAAACTTATTTAGTTTCATGAAGTTTGTTTAAAGAGAGAAAATTAGATGCAAAAGATGTTGAAACAGTGTGTCCTGACTATACAAAGGAACCTATTTTATATAGGTTGATTGCAATAAATACAAATAGTCATAGGAGATTTTATTCCTATATACATTACATGATATGACTATAAATCAGATTCTAATAAGATATGCCTATAATTACAAAATCCTAATTAAGTTAAATTAAATAAGGAAACAGATCATAGAATATAAAAGAAGAATAAGTCTTAAGAGATGATCTTCTAGGGCACTCTAAAATATTCTAAGATAAAAATGAAACATCATTTATTTCTCAGATTTTCTAAGGAAGTTCATTTATTCAATATATGATAATTCACCAATTTTTGTTTTTGTGTCCTAACAGGGTGGCGATTTTTCTAGGGGTAACGGTATGTTTTTTGTTTCTGTTGCTTACTTTATATAATCTTTGACTTCTATATCCTTTACAAAGACTTCTGAGGAACAATATTTGCCTGATTTACAGGCACAGGTGGAGAAAGTATTTACGGAGGCAAATTTGCAGGTAGTTTACCTCATACCTATTATGAGAGGAGGTTTTTTTTATTCTACATATAAGAAAAGAGAATTAAAGTGTGCTTACTTGTAGTTGACTGTTTTCATGATTAATCATTTGACTATACGTGTAAGTACTCCTTCATTGCAGATGAAAATTTCAAGCTAACACATGATGGACCTGGCTTTCTTTCTATGGCTAATAGTGGTCCTAACACAAATGGATCTCAGTTCTTTATTACATTCAAGCGCCAACCTCATCTTGATGGGTATAAAATCTTCGAATATTTTTTGTACAAGTAGTTTGAAGTGCCTTAGTTATATTGCTCAATGTTCTGGATTGCAATCTGCATTTTCTTGTTCTCTGAATATGCTTCTATTTTCTAGCTAATATTAGGTACATGGACTATTCAACATGGTTAATAGATTTGATAAATTGTTCATGCTGAGATTGTAATATATGAATATACCAAATAATTAAAGTTTAATTTTTATGCACAAAATAGATAATTTTATATATTATATAATACCTTCGTTTTAATGTAGTGAATAATTGATTAAGTTGAATTTTTCTAATTATGTATAGCTTTAGCACCAGGCACAATAATTCAATACTGCATCATTGACTCGTAGCTCTGGTGTTGCATGCAATCTTGATAGTGGCTGATGCATGATATATTTATATGATGACTAAAAAAATTGTTTCCAAAATTATTTAATCCTTATTCTTCCCTATCTATAGTTTTTTTTCCTATTATATTGTTAGATGTTAGACCAATTTGTTGTCTAATCTCTTTTGTTTCTTGCATCTCTATAATTTTTTAAACTTCTTGAAAACTGTTAATTTTTAAATCTTTTTCAAAACCTGAATTTCGTGTTTTAATATTATCATTTTGAGTGATATGTTGGACTCATGATTATTACTGCAGTACTAAATACTATGTTAAAACTTAAAGAAGTTTGTGATCAAAGTGCACATTGTTTTCTAGTTATTATATTGTAATGAGTGCATATTGAAATCCTCATTACTCATGTACTAATCTAAATTTCAGTTCCCACATTTTGGAAGATGGCTGGCTTATTCTCTTAAGTTAAAGTACAAATCTTACATTTTCCTGATTGTGTGTTTATGAATAGTTTTTCCCCCTTTAGTCATTAAGCTCCTAAATTCATTAGTTGGGCCTGGAAATCAATCAATTATAATTTTTATTTTATAGGGTTCAGTACTTATGTACTAACAATTACTGGTTGTTGACATTGATATAGAATCTTCATATTAGACTAGTATGTGAATAAGTCATCTACTTATCTTTTCCTTTTTTTTATGTTTTGTATATATAGTTTTTATTATTTAATGAAATTTAGCAAGAACAAAATATTAAATTAAATATATCAGTTAATGAAATTTGACTTTTTTTTATACTTTAATATCATTTTTTGTATACAAGATAATAATCAAATTTGAATTACACTTCATATAGAGTACACATATTCTCTATAAGAGATATTATATATATATATATATATATATATATCTTGCACCAAGGCCAGCAACGATGTTTCGAAATCGACTATGCATTGATGGGGGTTTGACATTGTTTATGCCACCGACCTCTGCTGCACAAACGGTATTTTTGCTATATACAAATTGTATTATTGATTCAATCGATTGATTATTTGTTGAAACCTCCGTTTAAGTGCACTTTGAGGTTTATGAAAAATGTTGCTTTACTTGTACTTTCTATTAATTTTTGCTGAAATGTACAATCTATTAATTTACTTATATGAAATACTATTATCTAAGGGATTTCTTTCCTTGGAAGACCTTTTTAAATTTCCAGTGAAATTATCTATCCAGGCCAAATTCAGTAATATATTAAATTGTAATATATGATTACTTTATTTATCGACATTTAAAAATATTTATATTTAAAAATTTATTACATTTCAATTTAAAGATAAAGATATAGTGATAAAACGAGAGTAATGCATAAAACACCTCTTTACCACCACACCAGTAAGAAGAAGAGATTTTGTGGGTGTCACTCATTATTTTATAGTTTTTGATGAATTTTAATAGTTAACAATACTGCCAAGCACTATTGAAATTCTTGAAAGTAATCAGAAATAATAAAAAATAAGCATAATTTTTTTTTAAATGCAATCTACATCGGTTCTCTAGAGAACCGATGTAGATTTATGCTTAAATTTACATCGGTTTTTCAGAATCGATGTAAAAATGTATACATTTTCTACGTCGCTCTATTCTACATCGGTTTTAGAACCGATGTAGATGCCTTTAGAGAACCGATGTAAAATATGCATCTTGTAATAGTGGATGGATGATGTTATGGAAGCAAATAGGAGAAACGAGTCTACTTTTTCTGGGATGTTTGATAGATTTGATGAACTACAATATGAGATTAACAAGATCAAACATCACTTGGGCATAAAAGAATACTCAAATTAAAGACTTAGCTTTAGGTCTTTTATGGTTTTCTTATCTTGGCTAGTCGTTGTTCTTGTTAGTTTTGTGTTTCAGTTGGGTTGTAATAATATTTTTAATTCTTGAACAATTTGGGTTATAGTGTTTTTTTTTTTACTTTCTTGATATTATGTGTTAAGTTAGACGAAGACGAAATCAATTCCCAACATGGTTTTGAATGAGATAAATATAATACGTATTGTTATTTCTAACAAGTGTGTTAGTGTTTCAAATATAAGTACAGGCAAGTTGATATGCTTCCATACCAAGACCAAGAGACATGAGCCAAGCACTGGATAAAGGCTGAGCAAACGAAGGGAACACATTAGACAAAGATAGTCACAAACACAGACACAAAAGAAATAAAGAAAAAGGACATGAGCAACCAAGATGATGGACAAAACTAAGTTAAAACACCCTAGATGGAGTCGAGTACTTACAATAGCCAACTAGACGGAGACCAGACGGAGACTCGAATACACAAACGAAGATCAAGAAAAATGGATTGCGTCTAAAGACACAACGAGACGAACTACTTAGCATACATCCTCTCAGAAGAACACATGAAGACATCAAAACAGAAGAAGAAAGATAAAAAAGAAAATGGGTGAGCGCTTATCCACAAATCAAAACGACGTGTGTCAGAGCAAGTACACCTACCAGTCAACAAAGGACAACTAGTCAGCAAAGGACAACACCTCGATCGCTACAATACCAAGAAAGTACATAGATATCTTAATTCCAGTCATAGAAACGAACAAATGGTACAAAAGACCTCGTGAAGTGCAGATTCAACAAGCAAACGTTTAATGCAAGATCAAAGACATTAAATGCAACAATCCACGAAGATTGTGCAAACTAGATAAAAGAATCAGATGATGGTTAGTCAAGTATCAAAACGAAGTCTGCTCACGGACGGAATATGACTACCACCATAATGAGACACTAAACTATTAGACAAAGCTTATGAAGAATAGTCAAGGCAAGACACGGACCAGACAAGTCGAGACAGATGAAGCAAATGACATAGGAAACCGAGCGTCAAAAGATGAATAGATGGAACACGAATATGCGCTAGATGATCATAAAATATCCAGACAAAGTTGTGTCAAGTGCAACTGTTCTAAAGCACAGATTAGACGAGGCATATGTCTAAGGTTAGAAGAAAGTCAATCGTGCATCAAGGCCAAGAGCAGCACAGACTAAAAGATACTCTGGACGAAGACAAGTCTATTTGTAATGCTGACCAGACCATATAAGACACCAAAGCATCAATGTCAAAATACTGAGATGGAGAACAAGACGTGAGACGCATGAGATTAACAGACACAGACGAAGACTGCCGCGCAAGCACTTATCAAGTCTCAAAAGATTACTCAAAGCATCTTCTATGATCACATAAGTGTTCTCAACGTAATAGTGTTATTAAAAGAATAAACGAAGAAGAAGAGAAGCACGCAAAAGAAGAACTGTTCTGGATTTGGCCACATAGTTGGACCAATGTAAGTAGGCCAATAATCTTCATGTCGGAGCTCTCCAAACTGTCCTTCGTATACCTTTGCAACTTGTTGAAAGGTCTATATGGGAGATATGTAGGTTTGATAGTTGTGACGTGCATGTAAGCATGAAGCGAGTACATGCGAGCAAGGAATATGAATTTTCTAGAACTTGTCACAATCACACCACATTTCATCTAACCTTACTGAAATCTCCCAGCGGGTCGAACTTCTCTCGGATGTTGCGTTTCTTCTACTAGAAATCTAATGCTTGATCTGTCAAAGGTGATAACTCTATGAGTATTTGCCTTGGACTGTGCATCTTGAATAGTTTTACTTGCAATTTCTGAGTAGACATGTCCAGCATTAATCATTGCATCCACTTCCCTGCCTCTTTGAACGAAAAACTTGTTGCAACGAGTGTATGT